CCCTTCACACAACACTGCACATGTAGCAGCAGCTGCTTCTAGAGGAGGGAAAAAGCACTTGGATGTTACTGACAGTTGTCTTCTTGCTTTGCTTCTCCCCTCTGTAAACTATTTCCAGCACTCAGGAAGTGCTGTGGTGAATGCAACTGTAGCGTGGTGAGTGCAGCCTCTCTGACCGCTCTTCCCAGGGAGAGGAGGGGCAGGGACAGAGTAGCCAGAGACACTACCGCTTCTTTTCCCTACTCTTTGAGCAATAAAATTCTGCGTTTTCATCTGTCTTCAATGATATTTTTCAGCTCTGTGATCTGGGCATACTTTAAGTACTACTGCATAACTGTTTTCCACATGAAGATAGAGAGTTACTTTATCCCTCTGATCACTGGACTTGTTAAGTAACTGCAAACTTTGTTAGTGGTTAATCAAAGAAAATGATGATCTGTTCTACAGGAATGTCTTGTCAGTTTTTGTAAAGTGGCATTCAGCTTTGGCGATTAGAAAAGCAAAGACTGAAACAAACTCAGATTTGAGTTTGAAAAGAAACAGAGAGCCACTATGCCAAATATATCTTTGACAGCAAAAGAGGAAGGCAGAATTTCAGACTGTTTAATTTACTCAGAACAATTTTTTTGATTGTTGATATTGACTTCTGCTTACTCTGAATTTTGTATCCTAATAGATTTTCTCACAAGGATAACTATAATTATATGCATATAATTATATACATATTTCACTTTTTTCTTTCCTTCTTTATTTCATCATTTTCTTCCTACATTTTACCACTGAAAACACACTAATCCATTTTCCCTCCACACTCAACATCCACAGTCACACCACAGTCTGCCTGTAATCATGCCTTTTTCTGCTTCTAAATATGCTCTTCCAGAGCAATAAATTTTATTCTCACTGTAAAAATAGGCTTTTCCAAGGCTTGTGGAAAGAAAGGACCTTACTGTAAGGTTATCATGGCTATGAACTCATACAGAAGAACATCTGTCTCTTTTCATATAGCAGGAAAAGAGGACTGACAGAGGCCTTCTCTTTCTTGTTGTCAGCTTCTCAGCTGAGGTGACCATATAGTCACTTCACAGCTTTTTGCAGATTTTTTTCATAGGCACCTGTGTGCATAACAGGGAGAAGGGCTGTGTGCCCTGCTGAACATCCAACTAAAGTCATCTACCTGGACTTGTGCAAAGCATTTGACACTGTCCCTTGTGACTGCTGTCAACAGTTTACAGGCTGATTTGGCCCTATTTTGTCTAGTGGAGAGGAGGGATCCACGAATCCTCAAGTCTGGAAAGGGGAAAACAGGGGATAAAGGGTGGATACATAGATGGACCCCAAAACAAAACAGCAGTGATGATCTGAGGAGAAACAAACTAATTTACTGTATCAGATATCGGAATGCAAGATAATGCACTATAATACAATATAATACAATATAATTAGAATTGGAGCTAATAAATCAAATATAATGAGAGAAAGTGTCTGAAAACTGAAGGCCTTACACTAATGCTGAGATGATATGTGCAGTTGGGTTGAGCAGCAGGGAGGAGAGCCTGGTCTAGTGACCTTGCCAGGGGGTTCATCTCCTCTCTGAACACAGAGTGCTCTGGGGTATGTAGTTCTTCTCTTCTCGGACAGGCACCTGGAACTGGAGCATTAACTCTTTAACTCCCAGCGCACTACATGATGTTATGATGTGGAATATTGATAGCCAAAAATAGTAAAACCATGACGTTTCACCCCTTGTTCCACATCACTGCATCATGCTTAACATATACTAACAAAAAACAATAATTAATATGCATTGAACATACACACACATAAATATATGTATACATGGAGTTACTGACTGCACTCCCCCAACATCAAATCTCCTTGTGGTACACACTGAATGTCCCAATTTTTCTGCATCATCCATCAAGTGGACCTAAATCCCTGAGCAAAAACAGTTCCACAAAGAGGTCTGCCCTTTCCAGAAGCTGGAAGAACCCAATCCACTTTTCCCAACATGCTTTTTACATGTACCACAGGGACCTTATCTCCCTCTGCAGTATGTAGGGATCTGGATTGGATAGGGCCATTTTGATTGACTGATCCTCTATTGTTGCCCAACCAGGTGGCTTCTTTCAAATGCTTCTCTCAGTGCTTAAATGTTCCTCCACCCATTGCTTTCAACATGCTTTTCAACAACCCATTCAATCTTACCAAAGGCTGGTGCATGATAGGGGACCAAGCTAATTGACAGCAGGAACTGAACAAAATAAGGATAGGAAAAATCACAGGCAAAGGCTCTTCTCAACATCACTGAGCAAAAGCAGGTATATATTAGAGTGACTAGCAGCTTGATACTCTCTCCATCTCTGCCTAAAAATGAATGAAAATGATTTTCTTCTTCTTACAGAAAAAATATTTTTTATACCTCATCTGCTTTTTCTACTAAAATGAATACAGTGGCAGCTTATATGTGACAGACACTCTCATCCACAGCTTTCATGGCACTGGGATAAAACAGCATTTGTAGGATCCATTTTGGATGATTTCTTAGTGTCTGAATAAGGCATAAGTAGATCTGACCAAAAAACAAATGACCCTCTGTGGTTCAGTTCCATTATGACTTCATGGTAGGTCCATTATGGCTCATTAAAAAAGAAGCACTTGAGCAAAGTAACCTACATGAAACCTTATATTATCCTGGTTTGTTTAAAGCCGAGTCTGCATCCTTCACAAGATGTATCCAGGTCCATGTTTTCAAAGATGTTTTATGTTCTGCACTTCCTCTGATTTCAACATGAGTTAAGTTGAACTTTACAGAATCACAAAATAGTACAGGTTGGAAGGGATCTTTAGAGATCATTGGGTCCAACACCCCCTGCTAAAAGCAGGTTCCCTACAGCAGGTCACATAGGTGGGCATCCAGATTGGTCTTGAATATCTCTGCAGGCTGAACAGTCCTAGGTCTCTCAGTATTTCCTTGCAAAGGAGATACTCCAGGCTCCTAACTGTCGCTCTGAATTAGACTCTTTCTAGGAGATGATGAAGATGTGGAACAAGACATTATTTCCCCATGCTGTGTGTACTGGTATACAGGCACTTCAAGAAAGCAGAGGGTGAAGATATCCCTAGAGGGGTGAAAGATTTCCTGTAGGCATATCTTGAGGTTCTTGAGGCGGCTAGTCTTCTGGCTTTTGTAATTGGAGGCAGTTAAAGAACATTTGTTACTCTTATGGCTGTCCTAAATCCTTCTCCATTTGATTGCAATGCCATGAGCGTTGCCATCATGGACCCTGCCCCCTAAGTCCTTCAGTTTAAAGTGTGCCTCACTAGGTTAGCCAGCTTGTCGCCTCTTCTGAACAGGTGGAATCCACCGCACCCTACAGGATATTAATAGAAGATCCCACTATAGTAAAAATAAAAACTCTCAGAGTGGCACCAGCACTTTGGGTACCATTCTCTACATTAAATAAACATTTGAATTAATTAGAGAACATATATATGAGGTAGTGAGATGCCAGTGACCTACAGGGTTCATACGTACTCAAAACTTTGAATGTTAAAAGGAACAAATTGTAAACAATGAAAGAAAAAACTCAGAGGCAAGAAAACTGTGTAATTCTTGTAGTGCTGATGTGAACAAATTGATGGACAAATACCTACAAAGCAGTTATGTTGTGCAAATTCCTGCACTAACATAGAACAACCAGTGTAGCAGGGTATGCCATGTCAGTATCAGGGTATGCTCCGTGAATGATGATGTATATGACAAAAGAAAGGAATAGTAGAATTTTTTTGAAATTTACACTAAATCCTCAATATTTCAATGTTTAAAATGCCTACAAAAGTGCCTATGTATTCAAGTTTATTTGTTGATTCCTCTCTTTGCTGAGTATGAATTATGGTTACATACAAAAACTATCAATTTCATTTATCCAATGAGCTGTAATCCTTGTTTTTTTATTATTATTATTATTATTTTTTTTTATGTGCCATAGTAGAAAATTTTGTGAAAACATCAGGCATTTGGTAGAAACGAAGTAGCAGAAGCACAAGCACTAAATCACTTTGAACTTAAAGATGCTTTGTCTCACCATAATAAAGGAAGAGTAAATGTCAAGTAAGACAATATTGTTCTACTGCTTAGGACTTTTTAGGACTCAGATTAGTATAGGTGCAGACGTTAGGACATTAGCTAACATGCCCGACTCTATTTTGTTTTAGGGTATTTTCTTTCCCATTTTTAGAAATAGTATGGTTAATATACTTAGGAAACAAACACAATACAGAAAAATGTTCCCAAACTACATTTTCATTTAAAACTTTATTTCTTATGTTTAGAACATTACTGGAAACAAAGAAGCTTGTAGGCACAAACAACTTAATATCCACAGTTTTTGAATAAAATATTTGCTAATGAAATCACAGTGACTCATTTTCATGAAAACTACATAATTTTATACGTTTTATATACATACAAAAGTCATGTGTTGTAAAGACTTATTTTGTCTAAACATTTGGGTGCTAAAATCCACTGCAGATCTTACATTTTAAATGTCATATCTCTTCTGTATGTTTTAAAATAGATTATTATATGAATATCACATCCCCGAAGAAAACAAACTTCTAATAAAGCTGTGTATTTTCCTCATATTTTTTCCCGAATTAGAGAGAGAAAAAGAAAAAGATAAGTAATAACACAACAAATATATAATCTAGGAGTACAAACCAGAATAAAAATGCAAGGGTAAAAATAGGTCTGTGTTCCATGAGCAATACTGCTTCTCTACTGGCCTTGGTTTGACACTTGTAAGTCTACAAAACAGTACATGGCCCATTATGTAACAGGAGAAGAATTAACTGGGAATTAGCAGAAATAGTCCTTAAATGTAATAATAACTGGCAACTACTTGGTATATTTCCTGGTTATACATACACTTTTTTCTTTCTATGAGGCACATTCAAAAAAAAGCCAAAATCCAAATTTCAGTATGCAATGTACTTACAGTCATAACATTTTGAGTCTAATTCAGATCTCCTGTATTCTACTTCTGCAAGGTTCTTCATCATACAAATAATTCCTCCAGTTAAAGTAGTAATTCTAAAAGGACTGTTTCTTTACATAGCCTTGTCTTCTTTCTGCTTCTATAGTTACTCCATGCTGACCACTTAGGAGTGGACCAAGCACAGTGCCAGTAGGCACCAGTCTGTTAATGTCAGTGGGAGGTCTCTGTAATGTTAATCCCTCTGTATGACTCACCACTCCCGAGTGTGGTCGATCTTTTGACTTTCCAGTTCTGCTAGTGGATTCCAGTGCAGTGAAGATATGTATATCTGCTTACAAACAGAGTATATGTATAAACATGTAGAAAATACGTACTAAAGGTAGTTTTGCATCCCTGATCTGAAATAGTGTTTGATTTACTGGCACACTAAGAAGAAGATACACTCAGCCATATAAGCTATACCGAGCTTCTTTATATATTTTGGAAACTAAGAATCTGAAGAGGCAGTCTGAGCAAAGGCAGACAGCACTTGAGTGGGACTGGAGAGATCTGCTTTTCTTCCTGAGTCTGTCACTGCTGGGTAATTTATGAGCTCTTCTTCTCTTTGTGCCTCAGATTCACAACCTGCAAATTTAAGGTAATGATTCTGTCTTTTGTATAAAGTGCTTTGGAATTAATGGAGAATACGTACTGCTTAAGAGGGAAATTTATTGCTAAGGAAGAGCCTTAGCCTTTTTTCTTTCTTCACTTTTCTAATGAAAAAAACACAAAAACTGTCTTCTTTGAAATCAGTAGGAGGTTTACACTTGATAATAATGCTGCCAGAACCTTTTCTGAGTGAATGACAGAAATTCTGCTCGTTTAGAGACAGCATTAACAGCAATTCTTGCTCAAAGACATGTAACTATCACCCTACCTATGAAATGCCTACACTTTAGTAGATAGAAGATAAGCAGCAGCTTTGAGAGCAACAAGGTAGCAATTTTCAATGTAAATGCTGTATTTGAATAGCTCTAAGACATTCATAATACAACAGCATGCGTATTAATAATACTAGTACTAGACTGCATTTTCCTATACTATGATTTTGACACAGAAGTTTCCTAAAAATATGTTTTATTTTAATATGTCAAAGCAGTTTGTAAAGTACAAATTGTCATTTATACAGTTCTTGTGTGTCCTCTAAGAAATGTATGTGCTTCTTCTATATTTGATGTTATTTGCTATCAATAGGAAACAAACTTTAATCACTTCTAATTTTTTTTTTTTTTTTTTTTTTTTAAGAAAAAGCTTGAAGAGATATCCAGCAAAACTCATATTTTGGACATTTATCCCCTTCAAAATGTTTTACAGTATCCCATGACAGAGCAGTTGAACGATCTTCCCTTCCCTTCCCTTCCCTTCCCTTCCCTTCCCTAAGGGAATAAGTTTTACTCAGCTAATCTGATAAACAGAGTAAAACCTTCCTGTTACTACACCCCTCTCCAGCAGCAGCATGTGTTCAATAGTCCTCTGGTTCATTCACAAGTCATGCTGTCTGTTCACTTATCCGTCAGAACTGCTTGAAGTCAGCCTTTCCCACAAAGGCCTTTGTGGGTGACTCTCCATCCAGTCCTCCCTGAAGAAGTAATCTGTTGCCATATACACACTGTTTTTATATTTCCTGATGCTCCTCAACAGCAAGCATCTTCTCCTCTGAAATACCTTGGGGTCAAGAATTCCTGGATTGATGAGTACAGAGGAGATGAATCTCCACTTATCCTGCAGAGGCTGGCTTTTCATCATCTTTATTTCAAACACTGTATCATACAGGAAGGGCATCTCATGCTCGGGGAGGTAGAGAAAATCTCCACTTCTTTTAAGTGTGCTTCCTTTTGGTGAGAAATCGATTATTTGGCATATCTGAGATTATTACTTTATTCAAACTACTTAAGCAGTCAGAACTGAAAATTGCACAGAACAGTTTGTCCACATCACTCTTGATAACTTTATCCAGCATGCAGTTACATGCCCTAGCATAAGCATTTGCCTTTTTTTTTCTAGCATTATACAGTACTTTCCACTGTAGTTACATGAGAATATAAATATAATGATTTGATTACTAAGCCTTCCACAATATGCTCCACGTGATTTTTCTTATCCTGAATTTTTCGCTGGTATCTAGAGAGCATGATTCTTTCAATTGTTGACTGTTTTGATAGTAACAACAGTAACTCTTCTTTTTTTTCAAATTCCAAGTATTTGTTTTAAAACAGATATCAATCAGTACGATCTGTTCTGGTTGTTTGCTGTGTATAGGCTTTACATGGGTAATATCAGAAAGGCGAGAATGCATGACAGACTCCTGTCAGTGCAATTTCACATGATTACACATTTGCCCTTCAGCTTCTCTTTCCTTTTCTGCTGCTTGCTTTTTTTACCATCAATTTGTAAACTCACAGTCCTGCGTTTCTCTAAGTTCAAAAGCTCTTGGAATAACTCCTTCACATTGTGGTTCAGCTTGGCAGAGGTCTCCATGAACGCACATTTCCACTTCTTGGCCATAGCTTCTCCTTCACTGCTTTCTACCTCTCTGTTTTGGTTCTCATCATTTTTGTTTCCCACCAGCATTATTGGAATGCTTTCTGTATCACCTTTAATCTGACATATTTGTTCATAGATTGGTTTAAGTTCCTCCAAAGACTGTCGGCTGGTGATGGAGTAAACCAAAATGAAAGCATGTCCTTTAGAAATAGAAAGACGTTGCATGGCTGGAAATTGATGGCTCCCTGTAGTGTCAGTTATCTGCAAAGTGCATATGCTTTTATCACAACTGATCACCTGCCGGTAGGTGTCTTCAATGGTGGGGATGTAGCTCTCTCTGAAAGTGCCTTTCACAAATCTCAACACCAAAGAACTTTTGCCAACTCCTCCAGCCCCAAACACAACAACCCTGTAATCATTGCTTTGCTCCGGCATGTTTCTCAGTGTGTCTGTTGTTCAGCTAGAGGGGAAAATCTAGGAAAGGAAATAGCAAAAAATAAAGATATTAATGCAGCTAACTTCAGTAATTTGAATTTATCTTTCCCAGTATGAGAAATAAACACGGTAGAAGTGATGTTATGCATGTTGCAGAGTTACAGTTTGGCCTGGGTAAGTAATAATTGAATATCTTCATCACTTATTTAAAATGAGCATTGTGATTTTAAGTTATATTCCTACTGGAATAACATTACCAAAGCAAAAAACTACATATGGGAACTGGTATTTCATCATGGCCATCCTGAACAAACTGAGCAGAAGTGAGACTGAACTCTTTTTTATTCCAAAAAGTGTCTCAAATCATTGTTAAAACAGACTGCTAGATATGTGTATGACAGTCAGAGAATCACTGAATCATTAAGATTGGAAAAGATCACTAAGATCACCTAGTTCATCTATTAGACCATTACTCTGAACATGCTATCTCTTCGGCAGCTAGGGAATTAATTTCCATTGCCCCTAGACAACACAACTTCATGACTTGTAAAATGTATCTGCAGATTAGCTGGAGTACTGCATCCAGATCTGGGGCCCCAAATATGGGAAAGATGTGAAGCTGTTGGAGAGGGTCTGGCGGAGGGTCACAAAGATGACAGAGGGCTACAGCACCTCCCCTATGAAGACAGGCTGAGGGAGCTGAGCTTGTTCAGCCTGGAAAAAAGAAGGCTGTGAGGAGACTTCATTGAAGCCTTCCAGTATTTAAAAGGGGATTATAAAAAGGAGGGGAATCAATTTTTTTCAAGGGTAGGCAGTGATAGGTCAAGGGGGAATGGTTTTAAGCTCAAGGAGGGATGTCAGGGTGAAGTTCTTTACAGAAAGTGTGGTGAGAGGCTGGAACAGCTGCCTACAGAGGTTGCAGATGCTCTGTTCCTGGAGATATATTCCAGACCAGGTTGGATGGGGCCCCGGGCAACCTGGCCTAGTACCAGATCTGGTGGTTGGTGGCCCTGCCTGTGGCAGGGGGGTTGGAACTTGGTCATCCTTGGACTCCCTTCCAATCCAAGCCATTCCATGATTCTGTGATTCTGTTTCTTCGCCTTTCTGCCCATTGTATTTATGACTTGCCTCTTATGTTTGTATTTGAGGCATTAATAATATATTAATTCTCTATCACTCCAGAAGAGACAGAGAGACAGAGTTCTTGCATAATAAATACCTTCAAAAAGTTCTGAAAAATGAACTGACTTGTATACTTCCCCCTACAGTAAAATTAGGTTAGAATATCAGGCAAGAATACAGACAGAACATTAGAATCCAACGGGGAGCCCACCTACAGGAAGGGTCGTAAGGAGCATCCAGTGAACTACAGACCTTTCAGCCTCTGTATCAGGGAAAGTCATGATTCAGATTGTCTTGAGTACAGTCACATGGCATGTGGAGGACACCTAGGTATCAGGCACAGCCACCATGTGTTCATTAGAGAGGTCTTGATTAACTAACGTCATCTGCTTCAATTATCAGGGGATCCTGCTGTGGATGAGGGAAAAACTCTTGACATAGTCTACCTAGACTTCAGCAAAGCCTTTGACACTGTCCCACAGTATTCTCCTGAGGAAGCTGGCAGCTTAAGTCCTGGGCAGGTACTTACTTTGCTGTGCAAAAAACCAGCTGGAGGGCTGGGCCCAGAAAGTGATGGTGAATGGAGTTAAATTCACCTGGCGGCCACTCATGAGTTGTGTTCCCCAGGAGTTGGTACTGAGGCCTGTCCTGTTCAATGTCTTTATTGATGGTCTGGGTGAGGCTATTTATGCTCCCTCTGTAAGTTTGTAGATGGCACCAAGCTGCAGGGAAATGCCAGTCTGCCTGGGAGTAGGAAGGCCCTTTAGAGGGATCTGGACTGGCTGCATTGTGGGGCTGAGATCAGGGAGATGAAGTTCAAAAGGATCAAGTGCTGGGTCCTGCACTCTGATTACAAAAACCCCAAGCAGCACTACAAGCTTGGGGCAGATTGGTTGGAAACCTTTGTGCAGGAAAACAATTTGGGGTATTAGTTGTCAATCAGTTGAGCATGAGTAGCAGTGTGCCCAGATGGCATCCTAGATTGTATCAGAAACAGTTGGCAGCAGGAGGAGCAGGGAGGTTATCATCCTTCCGTACTCAGCACTAATGAGGCCACACCTTGAGTACTGTGTTGAGTTTCAGTCCTCTCAGTCTTCTGAGTTTCGTCTCAAAAAAGACACTGAGGTTGAGGTGTGTGTCCAGAGAAGGGTGACGAAGCTGGTGAGAGGTCTGGAACACAAGTCTTACGAGGAGTGGCTGAGGGAGCTGGGATTGTTGTTTGGAGGAGACTGAAGAGAGACCTTAAAGCTGTCTATAACTACCTGAAAGGAGATTGTGGTGAGGTGGAAGCTGAACTCTTCTCCCAGGTATCTATCAACTGAATGAGAGGGATGTGCTACGGGATTTTTAGGTTAGGTATTAAGAAAAAAACTGTCTTAGAAAGAGCAGTCAAGTATTGTAACAGGCTGCCCAGAGAGCTGATGGAGTTATCATCCCAGGAGGCATTCAAGAAACATGTAGATTTAGTGCTTAGTGGGTGTAGTGGTAATGGATTGATGGTTGGACTTTTAGAGATCTTTTCCAACCTCAGTGGTTTGATGACTCTATGATCATATAAGCCATTGCTGCTGGTAAAATTCTTCTCCTTTTATAATTGAAAGCAGTTAAGAAAAAGATACTCATTACAGATCTGTCACAGTTTTGGTTTTGTTGCAGCGTTTTCACCATGTTGCATTGTTAGAATTCCATCCAAAGACACACTGCAAATTTCTTTGAAACTTTTTGGCTAGATGTTTTAGAGCAGCGCTCATTTCTATAAAAAATCTTATCTAACACTTGTTATCCAGAGCCAGAAACTCTGATCCAGTTCTTGAGCTCTTATGACATTCTACTGAGATGTCAGTTTGATATACAGTACAGCATTTGTCAGATGCTCTGTATTAATTTCCTGAAAGCTCTTCTTCCTCAGGCAAAATCAAATCATCTCATGTCAGTCAGATTTATTTATTTATTTATTCATTCATTAAGCCTAGGGAAACGTTCCTGTATTCTCGTGATCATCATGAAAATCCAATGAAATTTCAGCAGTGCATTTGGTTCAAAACCTTACCTGAATGTAAAACAACAGTCCGTAAGGCTATCTAGTGATGATACCATTTTGCAGTGATACATGATGGAAGGTGGACCCAGCCTCAGTAGAAAATGCTGTTAGAAGTATGGTGGCTTAGAGCATAGTTTATGGAGACAACAAGGGTGAAAAAGATAAGCGGGATGAATGAGGAGAGAAGAAGGCCTCTGAAAGGATTTTGTACATATCTATAGAAAAATATTTCTGTGGGAGTATTATCACAATGTTTGCCAATGAATATAGACTTACAGAATGGGGATTTTATGCTAATGGTATTTCTGTCTTTTAATGCAATACAATATATAATTTGATTCTTTTCTGTTCTTGCTTAGACTTTCTTATCAATGAAAATCTTGGCATATTTGAAAGCTGAACAGCTTCAAAAGGCATTTAAAACAGCTTTTCATTGCAACATGAGGTTGTAGTGCATTTGGAAAGCACTTTTTTATTCCCACGCTGAACAAAGTGTTCTTTGAAAGCATGCTTCCTGATAATCAGCCAGTATAAATTGTGATTTCTTCACTGCAGGAATGTTGTAATGCTTGATTTATGTCAGCTCTGGTTTTTAGGCACACATTGTTCTTGCTATCTTTGTAAGCAGATATGAATATTTTAGTACTGTCGAAGTATTTGTTGAAATGAACGTTAAAAAAATAGATTAAATAAAATTATAGTAAGTAAGACACTATTTACTCATAACTGTTACATAACTTTTTAAATACCTTCCTAAGACAAAATTATAGGGAAACATTTTAGACCATAGCAAAATGAAGTCTTGAAATGCAAAGAAATCAGTTACATAACTTCAAAATAACAATATGCTGCATTTTGTTCAATGTATTTACGCAGTGCCAGAGATCTTTAAGATTTCTTTGGGTCTTCCTCACTTGCATAAACAGAAATGATACCAAATGAAAATTTTACCAAGGGTGCACTGATGTTCTACTGGGTGTCACTTTCCAGTTAGTGTTAGGGTAATCTTAAAATTAAAAAAAAAAAAAAAAAAAAAAAAAAAGAATATCTACACTCAAGGTCTGTTTGAATTCATCTCTACTTCTGGCATGTTAGATACTTCACTTAATTGGAACTACTTTCAGATTTATTTATCTATTGGAGTATTTGGTAAAGCAGTATGTTAATATTTTAAGTGCTTAGAGACAAATGTCATTGAGCAACCTTAGAGACTCTGCATGTATGTAGATAGGTATTTGTTAATTCAACACAGAAATAAAAATGTTGAGAAAACAGCATGGTATTAAATCTCTATGGAACCCATACACTTTTATTTTTCTCCCCATCATAACAACTGGTTTGTTTAGTTTACCATGAATTTAATTAATCTTACTAAAGAAAAAATTACAATTTTATATATTAACTTTTCACCCCGTAATGCCATTGGATAGAGCTGTAGAACTTCTCACTGAAATGTTTCACTCATATGAACATTTGCACAGTTGAAGACTAAGTCTCATCTCTCAGTCTGTTTTTTAAGAGCAGATGCTCTTTATGGGTATGACGTATGACTATACACGCTGTGGTGAACTTCTCTAGATGCCCACTACCCCTCAAAAAGAAACTTATTTTTTTCTGTATCTAACAGAAAGATGTGTGGGCTAAAAGATTTCCTTAATGAAGAAAGTTAGAAAAATACGGGGAAAAAAAAAAATCAAAACAAAAATTTCTCAAGTAAACGTTTGGCTCTAAACACTTTGGGTGCTAATTCCCATATATTATGAGATTCATGATAAAAACATAAGCATATAGAAGTACAAATTGACACACAACACTGTGCATGTTCTTGGAAGACTGTTTCTGTTCAGCAGAAAAAACTGTACAAAGATCAATGGCCCTTTTGCCTTTCCTCCTTAGTCCTCAATTCCCTCACATAAACTTGAGACTATTTAAACACTTCCGTAGAAACAGCATTATCAGAGATGAAGGGTTGATTGACTTGTTAGGGAGTATATAGCTCCTACTGTTGCCTTTTCTTGCCACACATGTAGTGACTGCTGTCTTGACTACTGAGATAGTTCTGATGCTCTTATACAGACTAAGCCACTCCCCATTCAAAACAATGTGGATTAGTTCTAACCAAGGATAACACTGTCTGCTTTTCAGTCCATGCCTTGCATAGTGTGCTGTCCAAAAACACTATCAGTCAATGAAATACATTTTGCAACTGCTAGGCAAGAACTTGTGAATAGATTAATACAGTGGGTTTCAGGACCTGGAAGGATATCTCACAAATGGTTATTTAGTGCAGTTCTGTCGACAGTACGGTTTCAAGTGCTAGGAAGAAGCCTGAGCTTTCACCAGGAATTGTCCACAGATCAAAAACATAGGAAATATTTATATATATTATATATACATATGCTGTAATGTGCATTTTCTTTAACAATTACTTTGCAAATCTGCAGCTCAAAATGTTTACAAAACTGAATACTTTCGTTACTGAAACGTGTTACTTTTAAACAGGAAAGCAATTTCATTTTCATATTAATCATTTTCCCAGGTTTCTGTACTTTCTATTCTGAAGTAAAAAATGCATACCTAGAGAGTATTATACGAGTAGCTTACTTTCAAAAGTCTATGTTTTAAAAATAAAAAATACTTTCTCAGTAACACACATCTGCATTCTAATGTTTGAGCACATAAAGAAAACTGCAATGCGTTTTCTTTGCAGGAATGTATTAGCAATTTGTGTTAGCCAGAATTTGATTACACATAATACCTTTTTAAGAACAAACAAAAGTTGTCAGTCTATATTTTCAGATATTCTGATCTCATAAACGTAAGTCTAACATTCAACTCGAATTTACTCAAGAGGAAGTGCTTCTAACTTCAGTGTGAGTGGAAGAGTATGTTTGTCACACACTGATACCCATTTTTTGACATTTTTGCATTCTTTTTATACTCATATCAAGAATGAAATGCTAATCAGTATTGTTGCTTGTGATGAAAGAAAATGTACACTCTTTCAATTTATACATACAGTGGAATTGTCACATGACCTTTTATCACTGCCTTTGCAACAATAAGATAAATTGTATGTTTTTTTATTTTACTGCAACACGACAAGTGAAGTATTTGCTGATAAAACCTTTGTTTGAGTAGAAACTAAAAAATAACTTCTTGAATAAATTTTCCTTTTTTTTTTTTTTTTGTTTCCTATAAGAAAAACTGTTCATTTGAAAAGGAGAGTAATATAAATGGCCTCATGCTCACATGCCACATGGAAGCTGATTAGTTAGTTATTACAGAATAATTATTGAGATTTACTGCAGCTTGAGAGCAATTCAGTGTAATACCATCCTTTCGATAAAAAACAATACAGAGAAAAAAGTATTTGATTAAAAAGAAAATAAAGTAGAAGAAAAGGGAATATAGAGTTGAATGTGATCATTCTTTTCTGTAAGAGAATCTTTGAGCAAAAATAGTTTTTAATGTGATTTTTTAAAGCCAAGCCTGGGGGAACAGAGTGCACTCTGTCACAATGAAAAGGTGTGTCTTTGATTTTTACATGCGATGATGGGATTTTTACAGGGGCAGATGTATTGGTTAGCATAAAAGTGAAGTTTTCAGTTGAAACTCAAATGAAACTAGGACCACGATTAATAGCAATTTCAGAATCGGCAGTGACAGAATAAATCTTATCCACCTTGGGAGGCTTGCGGGTTTTTTTGATACCGCAGACTGCAGCGCTGGTATAATAATCCACTCGGACAGGAGGAACTTTCTCTCCGAGCTCCAGTCTTCCATAGAGACCTGTTCTGCATTATACGAAGGGGATATCGTTTAGTCTGATAAGTATCAGGGCTTATGTATCTGCTCTAGTGCTAGAGTGGTTCAAACAGAAGTACAGCAAAACCTAGAAGAAAAATGTGCTTGCATTTGGTTTTGTTGTGGGACATGCAGTAACTGTGCCTCCCAGGTGTCTGACCAATTTGCAAAGAGATTTTTCAGTGTAAGCAACTTCCCGTGAATTGCAAGAATGGTATTTGGCATTGAAAGAGACCTTCTAGAATATCAAATCCAATTCACTGCTGTTGCAGGCAACAATTTCATAATCGCTTCCATGACGTTCCATCTGAAAAACATGCAGAACCTCTTCGTAACTTCAACAAAAAAGCAATTTCAGTAGGCTAGTGGTCTAATGGTTTGAAACCATCCATCCTGAGTGTACTCACACCGCATTTATACCCATTTGTTCTTTGCTCTTCACAGGAATGAAGACTGCTGTATATTGAAGCAGTCATTTTCCCAGACTTTCAGTTCCATGGGACCACTGATTTGCAGTTACATATTTGATGTACATATTTCATGTTTGGCTAGCTCTTCACACAAAACCATACAGTTCATAGTCCCTGAACAACGGCACAGATTCTGTTCCACGAGAACGAGGCTCTAAGGCATTTTGTAAGCACAGCTGGGTCCCCCTGCAGGGAGCTCCTGAAACTGGAGTGAAGTCAGAAAAGGGGGAAAAACAACAGCCAAAATAATCATCTGGTCCAGAATTAACCATTTTAGAATGAAAACATTCCAGGTACAATAAAGTATAAACCCTAGCAAAAGTAAAACAGCAATCACTTGTAACAGCTTCATTTATATGAAAAGGCATGTGAGTGCACACATCACATATGTGCAAGTATGTGCATTCATAAACAGGCATTACACATCTACATGTATGATCAATCACACATAAAAACAAGAGATTTGGAAGCTTTTTTTAAAATGAAACTTCTAATCTTATTGCTCAGCCTGAGCTCACCCAGCTGTGGCTGAGGGTTGCAGCATACAGAACACCCCACATTTTACAGGGGAAACACCATAAGGGGAAGTACTGTCATCTCTGAATTCATGTCACTTACTTGAGAATAGCCCTTTATGATTTATTTTCATTCATTCAGCTCAGAACCGCACAATCTACAGAACAAACAAAATATTTTTCATCTGGAAGACGAATGGTGAAAGTTGTGTTTGTTCCAAAGAAACCCACAACATTTTTGTGTTCTTTCCTCACATAAGGAAAAATGTAGCTTCAACATAAAAATATTTTTAATAGAAAATAAAAATAAAATAAAAAATACCCCTCTCTTTACACCATTGTAGTGGCAGTGTATAAGTAGGGCAAAATTCAGTACATTCAGTTTTAACGAAAGGCAGTTAAAAAAAAACCAGAAAGTGATTAAGCTATGACCAGCATCCCAATAAACAGAAAAGCAGTGCTGTTAAACTGGCCAGCATGCATGTTACAGGTTTCTGGCTTCCATATCAGCCCCAGCTTGTAATGTGCCATATTCTGTATCTGTGGTAATGACTTGGATCAGATTTTGCAGTTCTAACTCAAGCAAAACTCTACTGAAATTTTTCCTGAGTGAGAGATGTGGATTTTGGTCTGACAAGGTAAAAGAACCTCTACTCTCCTTGCAAAGCTATGTTAATGGATAAGGCAACGAAGACAAATAACAGAAAGAAAATTACCTGTGAAGGAACAGAAGGCTGCAAAATTTCCTCAGTTTCTGCCTGTCATCACACCAGCTGCTGACCCTTTCTGCTGTGGGTTTTTCTCTACTAGGAAAGGGAACACGTCTCAGTCGCAGCGCTGTCGCTCTGTTCTCTCCTCCTCTGCCTTGAGTCCTGTGATGCCCGTTGCCTGCTGCCTGTCCCAGGCTGCAGCTCTGCACTCTCCCCTGGGTCCAGGTGGGTGCTGCTGTTGGCTGGGCTGCAGCTTCACTCCTGCTTTCTGCTGTTACAGATGCAATAGTTTCATCCTCCGCTGGTGCTGCTGCTTAAATGGCGACTGCACAGCTCATCTAGGCTTTTAACTGCCACCTACTGAGTAACTGTGGAATATGTGTATGGATGCATATGTTACATCGGCTGCAAATTTCTGGCATTCTCCCCAGATGCAGTGCATTTTTACAACTAAACTTCAAATCTTTGAAATATTTAGTAGTTAAAACTGTAGTTTACTTTAATCTTACACTTTTTTTTTTTTTTTCAAGACCACTCCTTTAACTTCAAAAAGCTTATAAAGCCTTTGGTCAAGCTAATCCTCAGTGGGCTTAAATCACATAGCTCCATCCAGATAAGTGGAGCTCTGCTGATTTATATTAGCTGGGAAATTTGTATTTTAGGTCCAATTTTTTTTGCAAAAATACAGTAGAAATGGAGTGCTAAAAGCATGCCTTAAAAGCAGATGCTATACAACAGAGCCCTTCTACATTTCAGTCACTGGAAGCAGAGGAGATAAATTTTCTGTGTGTTTTCCTGAGAGCAGAGTAAAATCATTTTCTTGGGTTTTACAGTCAAATGAAAAGTGAGTAAGCACATTGATTTTTCCAACTTGAAATGCAATTTTTTAATGAAAAATCCGGAGACAAGTTCTAATACCTCCTTTATCTGTTTATATCCAAATCACCTCCTAGCAATGCCCAGAACAACTTTCTCTCTCCAGAGTGGAAGCAGGCTCTACACAATGTCTGCAAATTCCCTCACATGGATCACAGGCTATTCTGTGTGACCAAGGGGTGATGGCACCTCATAGCCTTGTGGCATCACAGTTTCTCTCAGCCTGCACATACAGCTGAGCCAAGCTGCTAGCCTGGTGGGGAAAAGAAGCTGCCCTACAGCGATAGGTGGCATCCAGCACCAGGTATGGCAGTAAGGAGAGTATGATTTTTTATTTGCTTGCTGTTACTGTGGAGGGAACCAAAGGTTGAGCAGTGAGCTCATAACAGCTGGTAGGATTTGTTAAATGCCACTCTTGGTAAAGGGAGGCTTTGTTTTGCTTGTTTTCATGAAACATTCATACATCATGTTAATTGTTTTGTTTGACGCAGAAATGAAAAGGTTTTTCCTTTACATGTGCCTTTTGCAGATGTCTGAGTATTAGGTTGCTGGATGACCTGTCCTTCTAGCCCTGGGGAGTGATTTGTACTGGGTGCAGGTCTGGTATAGACCACCTTTGACCTTTGCTCTGCAGGCCACCAGGCAGCAGGCATGGGCCCAGCCATACCCTAACAGCCATAAGCCTACTGAAGCAGCCTTCCAGCACAGCCCTACCTGAACAATAATCTAACCCTGTGTGCTCTGAGGACTGGCTAATACTGAAAGCAAAAAGTGGAGGTATTGTAAGACTGCAGTTACCGCAACAAAGCAAGGCTTAATCTACAGACTCTGTAATATTAGACAAAAGTTTGGCTTTTTCCTGGTGCTGCCCATGGCAGCACGCATGTAGGATCTTGCTCTGCTTATTCCAGAGTCTACAGTGTGCTTCTGAACTATAAAAAATACATCTTCTCAGTGATCTGCAGGTAGAGGATCTCAGACCTCAGCAAGTATACCCTTACTACCAGTGCATTTTTTAACTTGCCTGAAAAGTGTGAGAAGCATCTGATGAGCACTAGAGTCATAATTTGCAACAACTTTCACTCATTTGATTTACACCACTAGTCAGGGAAATTTTAATTCTTGAATTGTATCCCAAAAAGGCAGATGTTCAAACCTTCAAGACTATGTCTTTTAAAATCCTGATCCTTTCTGAAATACAATTTACGTCAATTGCAACTATCAGCATAGACTGCTGTCATTCTACTAACATGTCCAAAATAAAGAATTCTCTCATTGGCAGACACATCTCTGCTGGTATACACATGCTCCAGTTAAGCAGCTTTCAGTCAGGCTCTCCTCCCACTGCAATCATGGTGAGATTTTTCTGAGCACAAGTGCAGTGCTAAGCTTGCACTGTAAAGCCCTGCAAGGGATATAGGCTGCTGCAGAAGTAATGCTTCCTATTTATTTCTATGGAAATTACAAAAGATATACAGAACACATTACTGCTGTTTGATAGAGCACATTCTTGCTACAAAACACTACTTTTCAGCATAGTCACCAACATTTGCTACACATTTTTGCCTGTGACGAACAAGAGTCTGCAAACTGCACTTCTGAAAATGTGTACCACTGGAGGTGACCCACTGCTGCTGCCACAGCAGTGTCCAATGCTAAGACCTTACTCTAAACTGCAGGGGAACCACTGCAGCAAACTGAGAGAGTCAGTGAGAGGGAGAGTAGCTGGTGTTCTGCCAGGAGCTCCAATGAAGTCCTCCGGGAATGCTGTTCCCCCCTTCCCTCCAACAGCCTGAAATGCCAAAAAAAAGGCAGTCCACGGAACCAGAACATTAACTCTTTAACTCCCACTCCCACCAACAACAAAAATCACAAAACCACAACGTTCCACCCCTTATTCCACATCACTGCATCATGCTTAACATATATCTATACACAAACAAACAGTAATTAACATGCATTATATACACACATATCTGTATACATGGAGTTACTGACTGCATTCCCCCAACATCAAATCTGCTTGTGGTACACATTGAACATCCCACTTTTCTGCATCACCCACCAAGTGGACCCAGGTCCCTGAGCAAAAACAGTACCACAAAGAGGTCTGCCCTTTCCAGAAGCTGGAAGAACCCAATCCACTTTTCCCAACATGCTTTTTACATGTACCACAGGGACCTTATCTCCCTCTGCAGTATGCAGGCATCTGGATTGGATAGGGCCATTTTGATAGACTCATCCTCTGTTGTTGCCCAACCAGGTGGTTTCTTTCAGATGCTTCTCCCAGTGCTTAAATATTCCTCCACCCATTGCTTTCAACATGGTTTTTAACAACCCACATTAACGCTACTAATTGTTCGATCTTACCAGAAACTGGTGCATGATAAGGGATATTATAAATCCACTCAATGCCATGTCCTTTGGCCCATATATTTACAAGTGAATCTTTGAAATGGGTTCCATTATTTGACTCAGTTATTCCTGGAGTGCCATGTAGCCACAGGACTTGTTTCTCCAAACCTAGTATGGTGCTTCGGGTGGTAGCGTGGGGTACTGCGTATGTTTCAAGCCACCCAGTGGTTGCCTCCACTGTGAGTTTGTAGCAAGGTGATACAATCAACCTGCCACGCCTCCCCATGTTTGTACTTTTGCCATTGCCCTTTTCCCCAGAGAGGTTTCATCCTCTTGGCTTGTTTAATTGCAGCACACTTGTTACAGTCATGAATACTCAATAGTGTCCATAGTTAAGTCTACCTCTAGGCCTCTAGACCACTTATATATCCCATTTCTTCCATGATGGCCTAAGGTCTCATGGGCCCACCAAGCTAAAATAACTCGCTTGTTCTGCCAGTCCAGGTCTATTTGAGCCACCTCAATTCTGGCAGCTCAATCTACTTGATGGTTATTTTGCTGTTCTTCAGTAGCCTGACTGTTGGGCACATGAGCATCTACGTGGCACACCTTTAAACCATATTCTTTGGGCAGCGATGTTTTTTCACAGTTCCAGAGCACAAATACTTTTACCTCTTCTTTGCCAATTGCTTTGTTCCCATTGCTGTAACCACCCCTATAAGGCATTTGCCACCATCCACAAGGCAGTATAAAGATAAAGCATTGGCCACCTCTGGTTTGATACTTCTTCTCCTTCAGTGGCCTCTGCAACTTGTCGTGTGGAGCTCCACACAGCAGTTTTCCATCTGCAATGCTTCCCTACAATACAACATAATCCATCTGTGAACAGGGCATATTTCTTTTCATTTTCTGATAGTTCACTGTATGGTGAGGCCTCTTTAGCATGCAGTACTTCTTCTCCTGGTGATGTTCCAAGCTTTTTGCTTTCAGGCAAGTCCATAATCACCTTTAAGACTCCTGAACGGCTGAGGTTTCCTATCTGTGCTCATTGTGTAACCAGCACAATCCACTTACTCCAAGTGGCATCAGTAGCATGATGGGTGGAGGGAACCTTCACTTTAAAAATCCAGTTTAGCACTGGTAGTCAAGGTGCCAGAAGGAGCTGCATTTCAGTACCGACTACTTCAGAAACAGCCCGAACCCGTTCATATGTGGTTAAGATCTCCTTTTCAGTTGGAATGTAGCACTCTTCCAACCCTCTGTACGCTTGACTCCAGAATCCCAGGGGTTGGTCTTTCCTGAGGCTCTTTGTCACAAACTCCAAGTGGGAACTTTCTCCCCAGCAACAGTGTTCTTTTCTCATCCATACTGGCAACAGGGCCACAGCGTGGTCTATCTCCTGTTTAATTTGGTCAAAAGCCTGCTGTTGCTCATGGCCCCATGAAAAATTATTCTTCTTCCACATCACCTGATAGAGGGGGCTTACAACGAGGCTATAGTTTGGAATGTGCATTCTCCAAAAGCCCACTACACCCAGAAAAGATTGTGTCTCTTCCTTGCTCGTGGGTGGAGACATAGCAGTGATTTTGTCAATCACTGGGATGTAATGATGCCCATCTTGCCGTTTTACTCCTAGGAACTGATTTTCTTGAACAGGTCCTTTCACTTTGTTTCGCTTAATAGCAAAACCAGTATGCAGAAGAATTTGGATTATTTGCTCTTCTTTCTTAAAAACTTTCTCTGCTCTATCGCTCCATACAACGTCATCGATGTACTGTAGGTGCTCAGGAGCACCACCCTGTTCTAGCATGGCTTGGATCAACCCATGGCAAATGGTCAAGCTATGTTTCCACCTGTGAGGCAAACAGTTCCTGGTGCACTGGACTTTTACCCTCCACTGAACTGTGGCCTGCATTCTGTGGCCAAAGGAATGGAAAAGAAGGCATTAGCAATGTCAGTGGTGGCATACCATTTGGCTGCTTTTGACTCCAGTTCATACTGGAGTTCTAACATATCTGGCACAGCAGCACTCAGTGCGGGTGTGACTTCATTCAGGCCACGATAGTC